ACGGATGGACCTATTGCACAGATGGCAACCTATCATGGCACCACGCTTGAATTCATTGAGCTCCTGAGAGCGACCCATTCTTTCACAAATGTTTGTAGAAGCAGTCTGCATGCCTAGGTGCTTGATTTTATACACCTGTGGCCATGGAGGTGATTGGAACACCTGAATCCAATGATTTGGAGGGGTGTCCCAATACTTTTGGCAATATACAGTAGTGTATATCTTTAACCTCTTGCCGACCGCGCATAGCCGAATGACGGCTTCACCGCGGCCGGCCAGTTCTGAGTGGACGTCATATGACGTCCTCCCAGAACGCGCTCTCCTGCGCGCCCCAGGGGGCGCGCACCCGGCGATCTCCGTGATCGCTGTGTCCTACAGACACAGCTGATCACGTGATGTGGTGAAAGGCCGATCCAACCGGCCTTTTACCACGTGATCAGCGGTGTCCAATGACACGCTGATCACAGGGAAATGCAAGTGCCGGTTCTCGGCTGCACTTTCCTCACGCTGTCAGATCGTGAGGAAAGTACTGCCGGAACCGGCAGTTGTCAGAGCGGAGATCGGCACCGATCATCAGGGCACTGATGATCAGTGCCCTGATGATCGGTGCCCAGCAGTGACACCCGCAAGTTCCGCCCAGCAGTGCGCCCACTAGCCCCCCATTCCCAGCAGTGCCCCCATTCCCAGCAGTGCCCCCACCTGTGCCCAGCAGTGCCCCCACCTGTGCCACTCTGCAGTGCCACCTACCTGTGCCCAGAAGTGCCACCTACATGTGCCCAGCAGTGCCACCCACCTGTGCCCACCCACTGTGCCCACCAGTGCCACCCACCTGTGCCCACCAGTGCCACCCACCTGTGCCCACCCACCAGTGCTGCCCACCAGTGCCACCCACCAGTGCAGCCCAGCAGTGCTGCCAGTCAGTGCCACCAGTCAGTGCCCAGGGGTTGTGCCAGTCAGTGCCGCCAGTCAGTGCCCAGAAGTGATGCCAGTCAGTGCCGTCTATCAGTACCCATCATCAGTGTCACCTATCAGTGCCGCCTATCAGTGCTGCATATCAGTGCCGCCTATCCGTGACCCCTAATTAGTGCTGTCTATCAGTGCCGCCTATCCGTGCCACCTCATTAGTACTGCCTATCAGTGCCCTTTAGTGCTGCCTATCAGTGCCCATCAGTGCCGCCTATCAGTGCCCATCAGTGCCGTCTCATCAACGCAAATCAGTGAAGGAGAAAAAATACCTGTTTGAAAAATTTTATAAGAGAAACAAATAAATTTTTTTTTTTCAAATTTTTTGCACTTTTTTTAATTTATAGCGCAAAAAGTAAAGCGCCCAGTGGCGATTAAATACCACCAAAAGAAAGCTCTATTTGTGAGAAAAAAATGATCAAAATTTCATATGGGTACAATGTTGCATGACCGCGCAATTGTCAATCAAAGTGCGGCAGCGCTGAAAGCTGAAAATTGGCCTGGTAAGGAAGGGGGTATAAGTGCCTGGTAGGCAAGTGGTTAATCTACATTGCATACTTATATTGCATCAAGCTAGACAAGTGTAAGTATGCAACAAAAACATACCTGGAGTTCAGCTTTACTGACTGATATTTTAATGTAAAGAAAAGTACTTGGCCTTTAATTTTTTCATGATGTGTCTAAAAATAAAAAAAAAAGGTGCTGTCCCAAAAAGTCCAGCTAAAATAATCACTCTGTCTAGAAAATAAATAAATAAATAAAAGGATGTTGAAAATTCTCTTCTGTGTTCTTTTATCTAGTTGCAGACTCTGGATGTGATAGACACACCCAGGAAAATGTTATCATTGTACACAGGGTGTGTGTAACATATCCAGTCCTTCTGCCCTGCTGCCAGAACCTCTCCTGTCCCAGTACTCTGCATTTCAGCTCTGGAGTACACAGAGAATGTTCTGACAGCCGGAGCTGTCAAAGAAAAGCAGCTGGCAATGTTTATCAACAACATTGCTCAAAAGAAACAATGTTTAACCACTTGCCAACCAGCCACAGTACATTTACTGCAGCAGGTCGGCACTGCTGCGCAAAATCACGTATATATACATGATTTTGCATTTCAGGTACGGGGTGCGCGTGAGGCGCACGACCGCCCTAACCACGTCGCCGATTGCGGCTGCGGGTGTCAATCACCAGGTCCCAGTTGGTGATTACCTGCTGGAGCCCGACGATTACCGGCAAACACTGACGGGGAGGAAGGCTGCATTGTTTACACTGCAGCTCTCCTCCCTGTCAGTTTGAGCACACTGGCCCAGACCGCTGAGCAAAGCCTTCCGGATCAGTGTGCTTACAGTGAAGCACCCCCCCCCCCGAGTGAAACACTCCCCTCACACAGTTAACCCCTTGATTGCCTTTAAATGTTAACCCCTTCCTCCACAGTGCCGTTAGTACAGTATCAGTGTTTTTTTTTTTCCACTGATCACTGTATTGGTCACTGGGGATGTCAGTGATCCTAAGTAAGTTCCTCCCCAGTGTCAGAATGTCCACCACAGTCCCGCCACAAGTCGCTGATTGCTGCCATAAGTCGCTGATTGCTGCCATAAGTCGCTGATTGCCGCCATTATTAGTATTAAAAAAATAAAAATTCTAGTATATATACCGCTATTTGTAAACGCTGTAACTTTCATGTAAACCAATTAATTTACACATATTGGGATTTTTTTTTTAGCAAAGACATGTCGCAGAATACATTTTGGCCTAAATTTATGATGAAATTTGATTTTTAAATTTTTTTACTGGACATGTTTTATAGCAAAAAGTCCAAAATGTTGTTTTTTTTCTTAAAATTGTTGTCTTTTTTTTTATAACAAAAAATAAAAAACGCACAGGTGATCAAATACCACCAAAAGAAAGCTCAATTAGTGGGAAAAATCCTCAGTAGGGCAAGTGGTTAAGAGAATTTCTTGGGGAACCTCATGGGGAGATTTTCCTTCTGTTACTTTTCTGGGGGACAATCCAAAATTTTGGATTTTCTTTTACTTTCCCTTTCAATGACAATAGTAAACAGGACAAATAGAGAGGGGGAATCTGCTTAATGAGGGCACAGACAGGGGTTCTAATCCCTCAACACTCTATCAAAAATTTTAAAGTTTTGCCTTTAGTTGCACTTTGAAGCAACCTGACAAGTTTTTTATTAAATGTTCCTGTTTAACCCGTTATTAATCCTTAGCTTACTCTAATCAACCCTAATAAATCTAATCTCTATTCAATTATTATTTTCCTAATTTTATTTTTGTTAGTTTATATTTTATTAACTAATAATATTTAAACTTTTTTTGTTTTTGTTTGTTTTATTGGTTAATGTTTTTACACCATTAACATATATTTACAAATTTCACATTTTAAAAAGTGCAAAATTGAAAAAAAAAAGCGCCCCACTTTATTTCATTTATAAATACGGTAAGTTTGCAATGCTTTGTACCAGGATCATAATTTCAGTGTCATTTTAAACAGTGCAAATTACAAAATAAAATGCACACTTGTTATGTGCAGTATCACTATTTTTAAACTAACAGTGCTCAAAAAAATAAAGAGTCCATTTTGTTAAGTTTTGTTACATTTAATTGTTTAAGGATTGCGAGAAAAAAAAAAATCATTGTTGCAAGACAATAATTGCATAAAGAAAGCCTTGTTTGTCCTTAAAAGAACAATGTATGTATTATGTTTTTATCATAAAGCCATACTAAAGGTTAATTTTTTTTTTTTTTTGTAAAATAACAAACATGTATACTTACCTGCTGTGTGCAGTGGTTTTGCACAGAGCAGCCTGGATCCTTCTCTTCTCGGGTCCCCTGCTGACACTCCTGGCTCTTCCTTTCTGTCGGGTGCCCCCATAGCAAGCAGTTTGCTATGGAGGCACCCAAGCAGGCTGTTCCCAAGCCACTGCTCCATGTGTCCATTCAAACATGCAGCCACAGCTTGGCCCTGCCCCCCCTCCTCATTGGCTGACTGGCATGGATTGACAGCAGCGGGAGCCAATGGCTCCCGCTTGCTGTCTCAGCCAATAAGGAAGCAGAGACCCCGGACAGCCCAGGCTGTTGTGCACACCGATGGATCGCGATGGGGCTCAGGTAAGTAATGAGAGGGCTGGGGGCACTGCTGCACACAGAGGGTTTTTCACCTTCATGCATTGATTGCATGAAGGTAAAAAAACATTCAGCCTTTACAACCACTTTAAAAAATGACAAAGTTATCGCTGAATAAACTGGCCCATAGCAGAAATGTAAAAATTGGTCTGGTCAATAGGGGGTGAACAAGTGTGAGAGGCAATGTGGTTATAAAATAACTATTTTTATAATTATTATTTTAAAAGTATGTTTTTATAAATAATTCTATTTAAAATAATGGCAGAATGAAAAGGGATCCTGATCGCTATTGTATGTGTTTTGTTTCTGGAGGTGACTAGGCTTTTAGTTTAAGCTTTGCTAGAGAAAGATCTATTCACTTTTACTTGCTAGCCCTTAAATAATGCCATTAATATGGCAATTAGAGACTGACACAGAATGCCATGCATTGTGTGGTTACCTATAGGGATGAGCTTGAGGTTCAGTATGCACACAAGTTTGGACCAAACCTTGCTTGTTCAGGTATTCGGATTCCAATAAGCCCCTTGTCTGCAGCCACAAGGCCAGGGTTTAGGGGAAGAGGCTCTTGTCTTCATCAACATATGAACAAGGTGCTTTGCCAGGGGTTTCCACCTAACAAGGTGTCCCCCATGTTAAGGACAAGTGGCCTGGTATATTTCAGAAGGCAAGGGGTCAATGCTCGTTTTCCCCCTTTCTTGGCCTGCAAGGCTGCATGCTTAACCACTTGCCTACAGGGCACTTATACCCCCTTCCTGCCCAGGCCAATTTCCAGCTTTCAGCGCTGTCACACTTTGAATGACAATTGCACGGTCATGCAACACTGTACCCATATGAAATTTTTATCTTTTCTTGAGACAGATAGAGCTTTATTTTGGTGGTATTTAATCACCTCTGGGATTTTTATTTTTTCTTAAACAAACCAAAAAAACCACTGAAAATTTTGAAAAAAAATGTTTTTTCTTAGTTTTTGTTATACAATTTTGTAAATATGTGAATTTTCTCCTTCACTGATGTGCGCTAATGAGGCTGCAGTGATGGGCACTGATAGGCTGCACTGATGGACACTGATAGGTGGCACTGATGGGCACTGATCAGGAGGCACTGGTAGGTTGCACTGATGGGCATTGACAGGCATCACTGATGGGCACTGAAAGGCAGCTCTGATACATGACACTGATGTATGGCACTGATAGGCAGCACTGACTGGCACTGATAGGCGGCACTGACTGGCACTGATAGGCAGCACTGACGGGCACTGATACGCACTGATAGGTAACACTGACTGGCACTGATAGGTGGCACTGATTGGCAGCATTGATAGGTGGCACTGATTGGCATTGATAGGTGGCACTGACTGGCACTGATGGGTGACATTGAAAGGCAGCTCAGATGGGCACTGATATGTGGCATTGATGTGCACTGGTATGCACTGATATGTGGCATTGATGTGGCACTGATGGACACCGGCACGTGGCACTGATAGGCACTGGCACGTGGCACTGATGAGCACTGACAGCTGGCACTTCTGGGGCCACACTGATCATCAGGGCACACTGATCATCAGTGCCCTGATGATCAGTGTACAGTTCCCCTCCGTGGAAAGCCGATTACCGGCTCTCCTCTCGAGCTGTCAGCACGACAGCTCGAGAGGAGAGAAATGCCGATAACCGTGTTTACATGTGATCAGCTGTGATTAGACACAGCTGATCACATGACCGAGCCGACATCTTCGGCTCTTTCTGTGATCCGCTGTGTCCGAGGGACACAGCGCACCGGTGATCGCCGCGCTGCGCACTCCCTGAGCCGCGCATGCGCAGTGAGAATGGTAGGACATCATATGACGTCCTATCAGAACGAGAGAACCACCTTGTGCCCGTCATTGTACTATAGGGCGGACGGAAGGTGGTTAAATAAGGGTCTGGTGTGTAGGTTTCTCCTCAAAATCCCTACCAGAGACAAGGGTCTGGTATAGAATTAAGGGGGGGGGGGCCTCATGAGTTTTTTTGTTTTTGCATGGGATCCCCCTGAATGGCCTGGTATAAACCCCATGCCATTTTTTTGTGGGGGTCCTTCATAAACAGCCATATCAGACCCTCATCTAGGACAAAGGTGTCATATGGAAGAAGGGAATCCCTGACTGTTTTGTTTAGAAAATGGGAGCTATCATTTTGACGGCAATTTAAACACACTTTTTTCTTTGGAAATGTTAGTAGGTTGAATACATCACACAGATGTGGCACTTCACAGTGAGAGTCAGGACATCCCCTTGTAATGTTTTTAATAAAATTTATCAATTTTAAAGTTTTATAGCATTTTGAAAATCGCTGCTCCCTGTCAAAGTAAATTTTTTTAAATGTTTTTTTGCTTTGGTACATGTCCCCCAGGGAGGTGCCCAGATCCATGGGCAATTGTTTGAAAATCACGAGCATATTAGCTAGAAAAACTTGCCAATTCAATGGGGTTCAGATTCAGCAATCGAACTTTAATCGTGTTCTTTAAATCAACCTCGAACTTAATCCAGGTATGTTCGGCTCATCATTAGTCACAATGCAACAGAAAGGAGAAAGATATTATCCCCTTGGCACGGGCACCTCCCAACCCTTTAAGTGGTTTCAGATGCTGGGAGGCAGGGCAGGGTTTATGATCAAGTGACTACTGTGATTGTCTGTCACAGTGGTTACATGATCAGAAATCTCCAAAGATTGGCAGCTTTCCTTTAGCTGCTGGTGACTGTGCACACACTCAGCACAATTCTGTTTATCTATAGCTACAGATATATGAGGCCTCTTGGTGTTAAGGCCCACCCGCTGAGAGACCACATATATGCATATGGCCTGAGGGAAGGAGTTAAAATAAACATTGTCTTAACATTGTGTATTGGTATTTTTGTATATTGAATTTGGTCTCTGCCTAGAATTTTAATTTTGTTTGGGTCGTGTTTGAAATAAACAAGACAGTTACTAAGAAAGGTAGCATGGTTAAGGTGTTTGTTTTGGTCTTTTATCCATATTATCTTAAAATAAATTGCTGAATACATTCTTAGAAAGAAATTATTGACATGGCATATTTCACAATGGATTGTTATCATCAGCAAATATTTGCAATGCAGACGTTATACAAAAGTTATGTGGAAATAAATGATCTAGCTCACATGTACTGATCTCTCAGTGAATTCAGGATAAAAAGCTATATAAACGTTAACCATTTGCATTTCCTTGATAGTGGGTATGGACAGTTGTTTATCTGTTGCAGGGGGTATGGACAAGTGAACAAACCAGCATTTATTTTGACTAGGGGTAGACACTCTAGTCCTTGCTTTTTAGTACCACCTTGTTTAAGGATCAGTGGAGTTGTGTCTTATTTCAACATATGTAACCTCTACCTACCAATTCTATTGTAATTTGAATATAAGCCTGATATGTACAAGACACAAACAAACACAAATGGATAGACCCAGGGGCGGACTGACAACTCATGGGGCCCCAGGGCAATAGGGGATCATGGGGCCCCTGTGTCCTTGCCCAAAACTCAAAAAAGCCTATGAAAAAGGTACCAGGGGCATCTCATGGGGCCCCCCTACTGACCCCGGGCCCTCAGGCAGTGCCCGAGTTTCCAAATGGTCCTAATGACAACCTAATGGCCCCTCTGGGGCCATTGTATTATGACAACTGGTGCTGTCAGAATACTGGAATGGTGCCAACATCTGATTGGATACAAGCATTGTTTGGCTGACAATTTTCTGACAGACATCTTTGACAAAAGTCAATTGAACAATTGGAGCCAACAGCTCAATAGACTGCTAACTTTCAGCCAAGCCAGCAGGAATCAGCCAAAATTTGAGCAATGTACAGCCAGCTTAAATAGAACAATGGGAATGAGACAGAAACAATACGGAGTTAGGCCCTGTTCACACCAGAACACAGTGCAGACCTCCTGCCTTGTGCGTTTCCCGCACCTCATTCAAAATGCACTGCAAATACGTGTCAATGTTAATCAATTAATTTGGTGCGTGTCATTACACTTTAAAAATGCAGTAGGTTTGCCTGTACCTGATTGCATTATATGAAAGTACCATGCAATCCAGTTTTCCAGTTTTCTAAAAGTAGCACGTGCACTACTTTTGGTGCGGTGCGATTTATTAATTTATTACAGGTATATAGCAACATCAATTTACACAGAGCTTTACATACATATATTGTACATTTCCCTCAGTCCCTAACCCACAAGGGGCATACAATCTAAGATCCCTAACTCACATTCATACACACACATACTAGGGCCAATTTAGACAGGAGCCAATTAACCTACTAGCATGTCTTTGGAGTGTGTGGGAGGAAAGCAGAGTACCCGGAGGAAACCCACGCAAGCACAGGGAGAACATGCAAACTCCAGGCAGGTGGTGCCATGGTTGGGATTTTGAACCAATGACCCTAGTACTGCCAGGGGGAAGTGCTAACTGTGCTGTCCATGATTTGTGTACATTCAAAATGAATGGGCTCAAAGCATACCACACTGCTTGTAGGGGATACTGGGGCAACTGGAGCAGAGGTTCCAAATGATGGAAGTATTTTGGATATCCAGGGTAGTGCAGGGACAGATGTTCTGCCTCGGAGCCTGAAAAGACAGCACAAGGACTAGTGTGGAGCTTAGGGTTCAGTAAAGACAAGCTAGGGATGAATTACACACAGGGCTGCTGACAGAAACCACGGGGCCCCATAAAGATAACCTGATAGCCCCCCCCAAAAAAACAGCAACAGTTTACTATGCTTCACTTATAAGTGAACACAGTGAGTGATTGCTACCAATCACGCATTGTGTTAATTCAGGAAAGGAAGGGGATGGTAAATGTGAAATATTTACCAGACCTTTCCCTTCCACTCTCCATCCTGAACAAACCTAATATGTGATTGCAGCATAGGAAGGAGAGGAGGGAATCCAAAAGCACTGCAGAGGTGGGGGCACACAGGGGGAAACATATGGTTCACAGGTAGGGTGATGGGTGCGACGGAGGGCAATTACTGGAACCAATCCCCTGTATGGCTCTCCCTGCAATAGCTGAAAGCCACTGGGAGGGAGAGGAGAAGTCAGCTTTCAGCAGCTGCAGAAAGAGCTATACAGGGGATTGGTTCTAGTAATTGCACCCCCCCCCCCCAGCTGTGCTGATCACCCTCCCTGCCCACATCAAATTCACCCAGCTGCCAGGCCCCCTCTGCTGGCATGGGTCCCATACAGGAGGACTGGTGGTACCCCCTTATCCACAGCCCTGGGTACCCATGAGGACAAAAGACAGACTAATGTCAAAGTCCTAGGTCTAGTAGACCCGCAGGGAATGGTGTGCAGGTACAGTAAATGATCATGGCAGACAAACAGGGATGCTTTGTGCTGCCAGAAGGTAGCAAAAGCCTCACTAAGCTGCAAGTTTTGGATGTGCAAGATCTTCACACGTTCCGTTCAAAACAATCTGAAAATAACCATCAAATGCCTGAAAACAAATAGAGCAAAAGGAAATGACAGTATAAGTTTAGGTCCGAAACAAGGAGGACTAACTATGGAAATGTATTAACTAATAGTCATGGAAAAAGGAACTATTTCAGAAAAATGGAAAGCAGGAAGAATTTGTCCTCATCCCAAAGAAATGTGTAAGCCTATGTGATTACAACAGTCCACTCTGGGGAACAGCAAAATGAATGTTAAAGTTGATGTAATGTTTTCCCACGTTTTAATTTTAGAATTGATATGCATACCTACATACCTGCAGCAATGGGTAGGTCCTGGATGCTGCAGAGATGCAGTATGACCACCTTGTGGATTATTTCTCAGTGCTGAAAGTAAAGTGTAACATAGCCAGAAAGCTCATAGCAGGAACCACCAGGTGCCTGAATTAAGGTCCTGCTCAGTATAAGCACCCCTGGTGCTGGTAATGCATGTTTGCTTTAGAAAATAGCCCTTCACTATTTTTTCATTGCTATTATAAAGAGCCTTAAAGGTCAAAATGAGATGAAGTAAGTACATTTCAGTAGAGCCAGGCATTGCAGGTGTGTACACTGAATACCATAAATGTAAGAGTGATAATGGTGCAATTTTAATGTCAATGTTGATAACTAATTAAATCTAATGTAGTTACAACAGCATTTCAAAGTCTAATTTTATGTGTCTGCAGAAATATCAAGTAGCTGTATACAACTTTATTACCACCAGCCAAAGCAGTATTGGGATGCTCTATAGGGAACCAATAGATGCCTAGACTGTCGTATTTAAGATCAGCATAATTTAGGATTTTATCTAGGATATTCCATTCTAAAATATAATTATCATTGATTATCCACAGCGATACGAACTCTTTGAAGAAGTATAAAACCATGTTTGAACATAGTTCACATTTAAATGTTTGAAATGTCCTTTATAATTATGATATTCTACCAAGTAGAACAAATAAATACAATTATTATCCTAACTATTGTCTGTAATGAGTCACTAGTTGCTGTTCATGGCTAGCCACATAATGAAAAATGAACTGAAAGATACCCTGTTTTTCCATACCAGCACGCCTACGATCCTTTTTTTGCGGACATTCCTATTTCACGAGAACAGATGAATCACTACCGGATAATTGCTGAAAATTCTCACAGTGAACTGGCTGCTCTGTCTGTAAAATATGAAACTGCACAGTCAGAGGTAAGTGTAAACATAAGTATGCTTGTCTACATACATGTAAATCATGTGTTTAAATTGCTCACGGCTTGACCAAGTACATATGCTCATTTGATGCAATTATACAGTCCCTCTTACCATGACTATGTTAATTATAGGTGATCATGGTAAGAAACAACTGGGAGCTAATAAACAGGTATTTATATAGCACTGTCAATGTATGTGTTAACATATATATTATACATGCACATCAGTCCCTAACCCTCAAGGGGTGTACGATCTAAGGCAGTGTTTCTCAACCTTTTTTCAGTCAAGGCACCCTTTAAAATTATGAACAGTCCCGAGGCACCCTTAATTATGGACAATATTGAGGCACCTCATTCTAAAATGGAGTGCTTGTAGACTGTCCATAATTTTAAAAGGGCACCCCATTCTAAAATGTGCAGAACTATTCTAATAGCTTTATATAACACAGCAACATCCACACATGTAGGACACCCAACATTAGAGGTGATTTATTCTTCCAGAGGAAATACACTTTTGCACACTGGTACTGAGTAGTATTCCAGTGTTCCTCTTCTCCCTCAGTTTTTCTCTATTATTGAGCTAATGCGACCCCAGCAGTGATGGAAAGGGGCAGGAGAGGGCTGAACTAGGATGCTGAGCAAGTAGTTGGCATCCTCCTTATTAATTGATGATGTCATTGGTTGTCAGGATGCAGTTGGCTAGAAGGTTGTAATGGTGCACAATGAAAACCTGTGGCTTTGTGTAACTAATAGGCAGGCTTGTTCCACCCTTTGGCTTGCATACAAATTTTGGGCAATTTTTAGACATTTTGCCAAGGCACCCCTGAAGAAACCTCAAGGCACCCCAGGGTGCGTGGGCACCCTGGTTGAGAAAGGCTGATCTAAGGTCCCTATCTCACGTTCATATATACACATACTAGGGACACTTTTAGACAGGGTCCAATTAACCTACCAGCATGTTTTAGAGTGTGGGAGGAAACCCATGCAGGCACAGGGAGAACATGCAAACTCCAGGCAGGTGGTGCCATGGTTGGGATTTGAACCACCATCCCTAGTACTGCCAGGTGGAAGTGCTAACCATTTAGCCACTGTGCTGCTCTATATAATGGTCACTGCAAGTAAAGTAGAAGTAAAGGCAAACTTTGTTTTAGCTTTGTATAGAGTAGAGAGGGATTATAACACCGGTCAGGTTTTTATCACTGTCTGTGTCCCTTTTATGGAGATCCTCACTCTCTATTTGTCCTGTTTACCTTTATTACCAAGAGCAAAAGTGAAAGAAAATACCAAATTTTGGGTAATCAACAGAACATCAAAAGAGGGGGAATCTTCCAATGGGGACACTCCGGACTCCCTCACTTTAGGAGAAATTCTTCTCACGTCATGTTTATCTATGAAACAGGAAGTGAATGAAAATCTCCCTTTGAGGACACAGATGGCAAAAAAAGTTGACAGTGGTTATAACCATTCCTTATGCTATCCTATATGTAAATAAAAAGTTTTGCCTTTAGTTGTACTTTAGTTGATAAGGTAGTATTTACTAACTCCATTTTGGCTTGCAGCAGTAAAGGAGAAGGGGAAATGTCAAACTGTGCCTTCATACCTAAAAGTTGGTTTTCAAAAAAAAATTTAAATGGAATTCTCTTCTGAAAAGTTTATAAGTTTTTTTGGAATATTGAATAACTCAATATTATTTACCTCCATGTTCAGGGTTACTCACAAATACTGTTTATTGCATTAATCAAAACTAATATTATGTATTTTTTTTTTTTAGATGCTAGATCTTCGTGCTAAGCTTTCCTCAAAAGAAATAGTTTTACAGGAACTTAAGGTTGAGGTGGAAAATTACAGAGAAAACAACGCAAGACAGTCTGCAATGATCACATCTTTAAGAGCAAGAGTTCATGAGACAGAGGAAGAAACAGGTCTACTGGCCACCTCCAAGTCTAGGGCAGAATTAACTATTCAGGCAGTTCTTCATGAAAACCGAGAACTGAAAGACAGAATCCAAGAAATGGAATCAAGGCTAAAGTAAGTCAAATGTTGCAGTTAATCTTGTTACATTATTATTCTTAAAATTGTTTTCTGTTTTGTAAAATGAATTGTGTTTTCACTATAATGTAGAACTTTTGTGGCTCAGTGGGAGGACAGCAAGTCTCAGGCTTCAAGATACAGCAGGAATTATGGACATTTCCTGGCACAACTGTCTGCTTGTTTGAATGTAGACATAAAAGGCCAGAAGGATCCAGAGGAACTGGTAATTTCCAAGGTAAATATAGATAGATCATTTGTTATTATCAATTGTCACAAAGCTTAGTATAAAAATACTATAATGGTACCAAAAGACCTATTAAAGACACTGGGGTTAGTCTACTAAAGGCAAAAAGGCTGTACACTTCACAAGGGAATTTTCGCTTAGCTTATTAGCCTAGTAAATGTGAAAATTCACATTATTATTATTATTATACAGTATTTATATAGCGCCAAAAAGTTTGCTCAGTGCTGTACATTATAGTGGGGGACAGTACATGAGACAATACAGTAACAATACAATACACGAGGGGTTTGAGGGCCCTGCTCCTTGGAGCTTACAATCTAGGAGGGAGGGGATAGTGGTACAGGAGGAAATGGCTGTGGGGGATGGAGTGGTAGGAGGAGTGGAGGGGATCGGCTGTTAGGTGATGGTGGGGTAGGCTTCCCTGAAGAGATGGGTTTTCATGGTGCGCCTAAAGGTGAGGAGGGTAGATGACAGTCTGATGGATTGGGGTAGTGAGTTCCAGAGGATGGAAGAAGACCTGGATAAGTCCTGGAGTCTGGCATGGGAGGAGGAGACCAGGGAACTGGAGAGTAGGAGGTCTTGTGAGGAGCTAAGAGTACGTGTTGGGTGGTATTTGGATATCAGGTCGGTGAGGTAGTTTGGGGCAGTATTATGAATAGCTTTGTACATCAATGTCAGTAGTTTGAATTTTATGCGTTGGGCAATCGGAAGCCAGTGGAGGTAATGACAGAGGGGGGTGGCGGATATGGAGCAGTTGGTAAGGTGGTTCTTTACAAAGAATACCCAATCATGTGCAAGGGAAATTTAAAAAATGCTTGCACGTGATTAGATAATGAAAGTCAGCAAAGTAAGGGAAAATTCCCTTGCAAAGTGAACAGCCTAAGATACAGCACATTAATCTCTAACCCCTAACCATAGGTTCTAAAAAATATAGCACAAAATATATACAGCATACCAAACTCTTAATACCAGTAATGATCATAAAAATAACCAAAGTTCCTGGGATCTAACCAGTTTTCCTCTTTTTTTGGCTATGTTAACACTCTTTGGTTATTTACTAAAACTGAAGAGTGCAAAAAGAGGATGCCGGCAATGAAATGTAATTTTGCCAGCAATTTTAAAAATTGCTTTCCTTTGCAATTGTCAGTGCTGCTGCAGCACCTACTGTACATCACAGAGATACACTCTTTCACAGGTAGGATTAGGACCCTCCCAATCCCCAGACATATTATTTAAAAATCTTTGCATTGGTGCATGTTCCCCAGGGCAGTGTCCATTCCCTTTGCTATTTTTGACACCCCCTTGCCTATTAGTCCAGAAAAGGTTTTGTGGTCTAGTTTGGGTCATCTCCTAAGAAGCCGTAAACTAAACCAGGAATTAGTAATGCTAAACCAGGGGACATACAGTAGACATACAATATGTTTCAACTGTGCTTTTAGCTTTTTGCAGACAACTAGATGGTCCGTGTCTGCCTCCTTGCTGTTTTCACAGATTTATGACTGACAGAGGCATGAGGACTCCATGGACTAAAATAGTTTTTTTGTGATTTTGTGTTGATGTTCCTATATGTCCACACTATGTATATGTAGCACCCTCTTCTTTGGCTGCTAGTGTTTTGATAAATTTACTTTTCCCTATAGTTAGGGGAGCAGTGATCATTTGCTTTTGGCTCTTCTGGGTTCTGCTTGTAAAGGCTCAACTGCTTTCCCCTGCATCCCACTGAATTATGGGATATAGTGGGTGGAAGAGTTTGACCCTGGCCTGCATAATCATGCACTCTCAGTGTATCCCTGGTCAAGAGAGTGTGTGCCCAGCAGGGGGCTTGGAGGGGTATAAATAGGCAGGGGCCTGGAATGGCACTCTTTTGTTTCTTGGGAGAGTAAGAAACAGCCTGAGGGCTGAGGCGCCCCTTGTTTGCCAGCTAGAACACTGAAGAAATCTTTTTAGGGTCCCAGCTTCAGCTAGAGCTCGGGGACTTCCTTCCAGAGCATCCTGAAGCAGTGCAGGAAACTCCACAGGGGATCTAGCCTGCAGACACCACATACAAGGACTGGCTGGTACTACAGGAGCCATTACAGTACCCAGTGAAGAGTGTATACTAGCCTTAAGGATCCTAGAGACATTCCTTGCCACCTTTGGGAGAGCTCATTACAGTTTGACTCAGGATTACACTCCTGTTGAGGGGTTTCTGCATTGAAGTTCATTCAACCTTCACATTCAAGAGGGTGGTTACATCCTGAAGGAGCAGATCAGCTTTATTGTCCTCTATTACAGTTTTACTAGTCATTTCTGGATTATTTCAGGGCTCACCCTCACCCCATCCAAGTTAAATGACCAAATAAATTGCAAAAAGACATGCATGACATGTTTTATCATTTGACTGGCTGTGAAGTACTGTGTGCCCGGTTGCCATGTACCTGTCAAGGAATAGAACCTGGGACCAGACAGACAGACCAGTCTAGGGTCTGTGCTACATATACTATGGTGCACTCCAAATTCACTTTTGTTTCAAATAAGATTTCTGTGGACATTTGCACCAATTAGTATGCTATTTTTCTGGGTTTTGTTTTCTTTTGTGCAATTTTTGTATAACTGAAAAGCTGATGTTGGTTTAATTGAAAAATAAGAATGGTAGTTTGTTGTCCCACTGGGGAATCCTTCTATGCTGGGACGTTTTCCAAACCCGTCTTATAGACAGCTTCTTGGGGTAAATTTACTAAAGGTAAAAAGAATGTTGACTTTGCAAAGTAATTTTTCTCAAAGCTTAGTGAATGTGATGAAGCTTTGCTGACTTCCCTCATTCAATCATGTGCAAGCAAAAATGCTATTTTTTTATTTTCCTTGCATGCAGTTGGGTATATTTGGCAAAGTTCACTACATTATAGGGAACATGCCCTTTAAATCTGCAACTTTCCTTGCAAAGTGAACTGTATATTTGCCTTTAGTAAGTCAACCCTATTTGTTAATGCAGTACAAAGTATCTAAGGCTATGTTCACACTGGCCTGCATGGTAAAATGCAGCCTTTTTTTCGCATAGGCCCATGCAGTGTTGACTTCGGCAGGAAGCTATATGATCCATATTTCAGCACATTGAAAACAGACATCAGCTGTTTGGTAGAGCTTTTGAGACATGTCAATTTATATTAAGTGAAAGTCTAAAGCCTTAATCCTGTAACAGGTGGGATACCAGTGAGTGTGGAGAGTGTGCTGATGAGCGAACAAAATTCACTCCATAAATGATTCATATGATGTTCCCTCTTTATTATTTAGAGAGAAGGCGTTGAAATGAAAACATAAAAGCTAAAGGCATAGTTAGATATTTTTTGCCAATTTCTTTTTTGTTGTGGGTGTTGTGCTGGAGACCTTGTACATCTAAGCAACTGATGGTGAAGGAAAAACTATGTTTTTTTGTGGAACAATAGCAACAGGATAAGATCTGCAGAGGACTAGATAATGGAGAATACAGAACCTTTTTTTCTTTCTTAGGGAGTTACCTCTCTTCAAGTTTTTATATCCGTGCTACAAAAGGAGCTTGTTCAACAGTGTTGTGATTACAGTGGTCATGTCTACTTCTAGCCATTATCTGCAGCTTCTGCCTGAAGGCCCATTCACATTCTTTCATTTTATTGCAGTCACTATGCATTAACCCCTTACTATTTAGTTTCTTGTATATTATTATTCATTACAGGTACTTAAATAGTGCCATCAATTCACACAATGCTTTACATATATATTGTACATTCACATCAGTCCCTAACCCTCAGGTGGTGCACAATCTAAGGTCCATAGCTTACATTCATACATACACATACTAGTGCAAATTTAGACAGGATCCAATTAACCTACCAGCATGTCTGTGGAGTGTGAGAGGAAACATGTACCTTGAGGAAACCCATGCAGGCACAAGAAGAACATGCAAACTCCAGGCAGGTGAAGCCATGGTGGGGATTTGAACCAATGACCCTAGTACTACCAGGCAGAAGGGCTAGCCAGTTAGCCACTGTTCTGCCCATGTTAATCCTTTGCTATCCACTGCACTATAGGGTAACAGTTTTCTTATCTCTTCACATAAATTGTGCATTAGGTCTTTACTGTGCAGTTTACATAGCTTCCTACTGTCCCTTGTGTGTAGGGACTGTCTCTCTTTTGCATCCAAATCCCCCTCTTCTTCTTCCGTTTTCCCTCTTTTTGATTTGATGATGCAGTTGACCTTTCATCTAAATTATTGTATTTGTTATTAAAATATGAAAAAGAAAAGGGAAAAGTAGTGGGAAATAATAAGGACTTGCCAGATTAAGTAAGCATTTTTATGCATTTAAGAAGGAATGAATTTCTTAAAGTGGAACTACACTGTATCTGAGCACCTAAAAATAATACTGATATTTAATTCATTTTTAATATTCAAAGCAAACTCCCCCATCCATCCATGCCTCCATGCTTTATTTTGTTCCCCTAGCATTTCTGGCCGTGGCCATCTTGAGTAAGGGCAGATGATTCATGCAGCACTTACTTCCTGGAATCAATCTGCCCTTAGCTCAAGCATACAGGCAGTAGGTGTGCTTAGCTGAGAAAAGCCTTCCTCCCCTCCTGAAGACTCCTGGGATGTATGACATCATTTGCCTAGGCATGGAAACAAGGAAGTAACTAAAAAATGTTAAAAATAGTTTAATCATGTAAATATTGCATACTTTCCTATATATTTACTAATGCTGGCAGCATATGGATTAAAAATAGTCAATGTTGATTTAGAGAGTGAAGTTCCACTTTAAAATCTGCAAAAATAGTTCTAGCAGTTAGAGTTTTTAATCCGAAAAAAATGGCTTAAGAGGAACAATGCTGGACCAGAAGAATTGGCAGGCGGGAGATGGAGTCATCTTTGAACATAACAGCGAATGTAGACTGGAACTATCACTTCTGAAAGTGAAATGTGTCATAATGTGAAAGTATGCCATGCACACTTGCTATATCATGACAGCTCAACTGTAGACAGTTGAAATTGAATTCCTCTTTTATTCTTCATGGCCTGCATGGGTCGCACCATTTGCCTATATATATTGTGCTATAATGTGTTCTATTTTAAATCAATAAATTCCAAGTTTAAATTTACTGTACTTTACCCTTTATTGTGCACTTCTTATTCACCATAGTTTACAAACCCTGCACTCTATATATATTCATATTGTTTTGTTTTTTTTAACCCTGTCTATTGGACACTAAATGACCAAGGGCCCCTAAAACCTTTGCTAAGAAACTAAATGAACTGTTTGGTGATAGCTTGTGTTGAACAGCACACATTGCCAGGATCGTGAATAGTAAGAACAGCTCCCAATGCATGCTTTGACATAAAGGATGTAAAAGTACCCAGAAAAAAAAAAAAGATATCTTCTAGGGCATTTATATGAGAGTTGTGCCTGGATGATGGTGAGAAAGAGTAGGTACAAATAAATACTGAATAGTATGGACAAGCCTTCAAGATGTCATAGGAACCTGAGCTGGTTGCTTGAAGAGAAACTATATTGGTTTTGGGCTGATTGTGATTTGATATCCTTCTATCCTTGTCATGGCACATGCTATTCCCAGCCTAGTTGTTAAAAGTCTGGTACTACAGTGGCCCTGTTGCCTTGCTGTTTTTACCTGCTGGCTGCAAATGGCAAAATAAGATATTTAGAACTGAAGCCATAGGGCATTTCCTTACCAATCTGGGCATTTGGATATCACTGACTTTGTTGTTTGCCTATACATGCCTTGGGAAGTGTACTCTAGCATGGATTGTGACTTCCAAGCTGTCTAAATTTATGGCTACCATATAATTACAGTATGTTTCATATCATAAGAATACTTCCTGTTGTCTTAGATTAGTATTAGTTGGAAAATTTAACACAGAAAAGTCCATCAATTCACTTTTTGACATGTTTCAGGCATAATTATAGTGTTATATAAGTCTGATGGAACCTGCTTGATGATTCCAGCTATGGTTAGACAGCCACATATTGATCGGTATTCCGCTCACTGTTTGCTGTTCTAGGACAAACAATCCAAATCTCAAATGTGCTGCTTAAAATAAATCCTAAAATTTACTTTATTGCAAGTGTCTAATGCTGTTTTAAATCATGGCTATGATGACTAGAACAAATTTGAAATCCTTTGGTGTCTTTAGATGCCACGTTTTAAAGTCTCCTTGCTTTCAAGTACTGTTCTTTTGCACTATAGTGGTGAGAAAGACTGTGGATTCCTGAAATAGAAAGTTACTTTTGATAAGATGCTTAACTTGACAAATATCCCCAGATACCTCTTTTTAGAAGAATACCGATGACCAATATAATAGTTTATCATAATATTGCATATGTGGATATTTTAAATGTGTGGCCTCCCTTCATTTTAAATGTTTTTTTGCTAAGGGCTACACTTAGCACACCCTTTTTTGAAGTTGCTAATAAACTATTTTGCACTTTTAAAAAGTAATTTGTGGTAGATATCTCAAGTTTGCCTTTTGTGTTCCATGCACATATTTTTTAAAGTTAGGCTACCCTCCACTTATGCGTATCATTTGTGTTTATTTAAAGAAGTATAGCCAAAGCTATGAATCACAGGAGTGCAGTTTCTTCTGTGACCCGCTGTCGACTGATGTCACACAGCTGGTCCAGACTCTGAAAAGATCCACACCAAAGGTTGGGATCCACCCAGAAGCTTGGACTGGCAGCTGGCTCCGTTCCCTCTCCTCCCCAGCCTGGCATTCCAGCGAGCGTTTTAGGGACAGAGTAGATAGCCAGTGACTGACAGTCACCGATCTCTGCTCAGCGCGAAGGGGGAGAACTGAGCAATCAGCAGTGTTTAATCACCCAGTTCTCATTGCAGAGCCGGCAGGGGACAGATGCTGCATTCACCTAGGTGAGTGTATTTTTTTTTTTTTTTTATGAATTCCATACTCCTGGGCAAAACAATTACCTTTTCTTTACAGCAATAAAAACACGACAGTGAGTCTAACTCAATTCAAAAATAACAATTTTTTTTTTTTGGGGGGGGGGGGGGGGGGTGGCTGGAGTTGAGACGCACTCAAGAGATCTTATCCCTTTCCAAGGGAAATCTTTTCTGAGGAGGGACATTTTGTCTTAATCAGATGCTCGTATGAGTTGATTTTTTTGCAGATTTAAGGTAGCGAATTTTTTTTTTAGAACAGTGTAAATGAAAATGAATAACTAATTATAAAGTGTCCATTAGCACCCAATATATAGTGCAGTGTTTCCACTTTTATATTGAATTCTTCTCAATAAAGTGCTCCGTGCTCTGCAAATCACAAAGTGACTTTGTGTTAAAAAAAAAACGCAGTGTGATGTGTGATCTGTGCCTCTTCCTTTGACCACACTCAAAAGATAAGATGGCCCCCTGCTATTAGCAAAATAGTGAAATGAGTTCCTGCTGGTGAGGAAACCTCCACTGTTCCACTCACTCTTGTTCTCCACTCTCTTTCAGATATTCAACTTACTTTAATGATGTGAGGTATGATGGCAATGAGTAAGGGTGACTGGTACTTCAGGCAATGGAAATCAGAGGAGAAGAGGGAACCCTTATAGTGTAGTATTCATTTTTTATTTACAAAATAGTTAAAATTGCACTTACATCTAAAAAAAACACATCCACTTTCAACAAGAGGTAAACCTTGTAAGGCAGCCGAATCACAGTCAGGGAAAACCACTGGCCCATGGACCGGATATGACTTCACTGGAAACCAACCAACGCATTTCGCCCCTCCCACTGAGTGTCTTAAGAGAAATCTTAGGTAGTGTAGGGATTGATTGAGCCACCAGTTCATAACAACCTTTTATGTTTTTCAGACAGGTGATCTTTTGAAGGAGAATATAGAATTGAAGGGTAATGTTGTCACTCTAAAGGAAACCATCAACGTTCATGAGACAGAATCAAAAGCCAGCAGGGAAACCATCATGAAACTTGTTTCTGAAATAAACAAAGAGAAAAAGAAGAGCGGTTCATTTGTTCAACAAATAGACACTCTCTGCAAGGTATGTGTGAAATAATTATGTTACTAATAGATGGGATAACTAAAAGCAAGGCTAAGATATAGGCTTGATGTTAATGATGCTAAATCTATGAGGGACTGCTGTTTTGTGATGGACATAATTTATATTTTGAAAACACTAACAAATTCTGCTGTAAGGGACCGCCCGGCGGTACCACTAGCACTCCACTAAATAGGTGTTTCCAGAGCACGGAGTCTAAGTCCCAGGGGACTTGTTCACCAGGGCCCCTGATGGTGGGGATGGACTTGGAGCCCCCCGAGACCAGGTCGTGGCTACTGGGCAAACCCGTTAGTGGTAGTGGTATTCGCCGAGGGCTCCTGCGGGGAAGAGCCTGATATGAGGAGGTCAGGAGACCCCACTGGGAGGGATGGACGGATGGATGGATGGATGGCTGAGCAGGTGCGGGGTCAGACAAGCCGGGTCGGTAACAGGGAGGACGGTATGGTACAAGGCAGCGGGCAGAGAATAGTCGGGTCACACGCCAGGTCAGCAACAGCAGGTCAGATCCAATAGGGGGCATTCAAGAGAGAGGTCAGGCAAAGCAAGGGTCAGGGCAGGAGAAATACAGCAAGGTCAAGCACAATCCGGGCCAGCAACTTACTATTCACAGGTTCGCAGATACAGGATACAGGTAAGACCAGAAGGCACTGAATGACAGCTCAGGGCCATTTAAATATCCCGCCCTGCGCTGCCATTGGTGCCCAGCGGGCGGCCGCGGCTTCTACTGCGCATGCGCGAACTCGAACGCCGCGGCCGGCCCGGACCTAATGCTCGAGTCCCAGCACAGGGCGGCACACTGCGCCTGCGCCGGGACCATCACGGCGGAGACCGAGGGGATCCCTGACATTGCCCCCCCCCTACGGGCAACCTCCGGATGCCCACCCGATCCCTCCACCACGGGTGATCGCGAAAGAACCTCCGGACAAGTCTAGGTGCATGGACATTATGGGCAGGTTCCCAAGAATTATCCTCAGGGCCATAGCCCTTCCATTTGATTAGGAATTGGGTCTGGCCCCCCCTCCTTCGGCACTTCAAGATTGATTCCACCTCAAATTCCTCTTCCCCTTCTACCGATATGGCCTGCGGAGGCCCAGATTCTCGTTCAGGGAAGGTATCCGGGACTACTGGCTTCAGCAGGGACACATGGAAGACTGGGTGGATCTTGAGTGTGTCAGGGAGGACAAGTTCGTAGGCCACCTCGTTGACCATCCGCTTAACGCAAAAGGGTCCTATAAATTTAGGGCCTAATTTCTTTGAAGGGCAAAGCATCCTTAAGTTAGAAGTAGACAACCAAACCTTCTCACCGGGTCGCAACACCAGATCTCCCCTTCGTCTCTTGTTGAATGCCCTCTTGTAGTCATCTTGGGCCCGAATTAGGGCTTCCTGTAGCTTCTTGTTGTTCGAGGAGAAGAAGAACGTCAATGTATCCTGCGTTGCCGGAATTGGGCATTCCGGGACCAAGTCCGGGAGGAAGGTAGGGTGAAACCCACAATTGGAGAAGAACGGGGACTGCCCCGTTGCCGAATGGCACGCGTTGTTGTACGCGAATTCCGCCAAGGGTAGAAGTGGTATCCAGTCATCCTGGGCAAAAGATGTATAGCAGCGCAGGTACTGCTCAGAGTCTGGTTGGTTCTCTCGGTCTGTCCGTTGGACTGAGGGTGAAATGCAGAAGAGAGGGACAGTTGGATGTTCAGAGCTTTACACAGAGCCCTCCAAAATCTTGAGGTAAACTGAACCCCTCGGTCAGAGACGATGTCTTCAGGGACCCCGTGCAGTCTTACAATCTCTCGAATGAATACTCGCGCAGTTTCGTCTGCCGACGGAGTCCTCCTTAATGGTATAAAGTGGGCCATCTTAGATAAACGGTCCACGGCCACAAGAATTGCTGTGTGGTCCCGTGAAGGTGGGAGCTCGACTATGAAGTCCATCGAAATTTTCTGCCAAGGCCGTTCGGGAATTGGTAAAGGCCGCAGAAGACCCCAAGCCTTGCACCTTGATGGTTTGTTCCTCTGGCAGGTGATGCAGGAGTTGACGTAGTGTTTGCAGTCTTTTGCCATGTCCGGCCACCAGAAGGAGCGTCGGAGGAGCTCTAAGGTCTTGGCCGACCCAAAGTGCCCTGCCATCGGGTGGTCATGGCAATGGCCCAAGACCAGAGTTCGGATTCCCTCTGGCACCACAATCCGATCTTCCTTCCACAGGAGTCCCCCTTTGTTCTGGAGGGGCACCCCGGCTGGGATGGATAAGGCCGTGGACGCCTCCATTATCTTGGAACGAAGGTCCGTCTGGAGCGCCAAGAAGTTTCCTGAAGACAGGATAGTGTCGGGCGCTGGGGCCTCCTTGGCGTCCTCGTACATTGGTGACAACGCATCTGGCTTCGTATTCTTTGATCCCGGCCTGTATGTAATGTGGAAATTGAATCTTGAGAAGAACAGTGCCCATCTCGCCTGTCGTGGGCGTAAGCGTTTGGCGGTCCTCAGGTACTCCAGATTCTTATGATCCGTAAATATTAAGATGGGGTGTGAGGCTCCTTCCAGCAGGTACCTCCATTCCTCTAACGCTGTCTTAATCGCCAGAAGTTCACGATCACCGATATCGTAGTTCCTTTCCGCCGGGGTGAGTTTCCGTGAGAAGAATGCCACAGGGTGGAGCAATTCCCTGGTGCCCTTTCGCTGGGACAGGATGGAACCTACCGCATTCTCTGACGCATCTACCTCCAAGATGTAGGGTAAGGCGGCATCGGGGTGACCCAGGATGGGTGCCGAAGTGAATAGTTTCTTCAAAGCTTCAAAAGCTTCCTGCGCCTCTGGCGTCCACCTGAATCGAGTTCCAAGCTTGGTTAGCTGAGTAATGGGGGAGACCAGACCCGAGAAGTTCTTGATGAACTTGCGGTAAAAGTTTGCGAACCCGACAAACCGTTGGACGCCCTTCCTGTCTGTGGGTTCAGGCCAATCCAGTATTGCAGAGACTTTCTGAGGGTCCATCGCGACCCCCGCGGTGGAGATAATCAGACCCAGAAAAGTAATACTAGACTGTTCAAAGCAACATTTGTCAGCTTTGGCGTATAAGCCATGCTGCCGCAACCGCCCTAATACCTTTGCTACGTGAACCCTGTGCTCCCCCAGAGAAGGTGAAAAAATCAAAATATCGTCTAAGTAGACTGTAACAAAGACATCCAGGAAATCCCTAAAAATGTCGTTCACAAAGTGTTGGAAGGTGGCGGGTGCATTGCACAGACCGAACGGCATGACCAGATACTCGAAGTGGCCGAAGCGGGTGCGGAATGCCGTTTTCCACTCGTCCCCCTCCCTTATGCGAACCAGGTTGTACGCTCCCCTTAAGTCCAGTTTTGTGAACACCACTGCCGCCTTTAAACTCTGGAATAATTCTGGTACCAACGGCAGGGGGGTAACGGTTTTTGATTGTAACTCTATTCAATTCCCGGTAATCAATACACGGTCTCAAGGTCTTGTCCTTATTTTCTACAAAGAAAATCCCTGCCCCTGCTGGAGAGGTAGAGGGGCGGATGAATCCCTTCTGCAGGCTGTCCTCAATGTATTCCCTAAGGGCCCCCAATTCGAGCTCCGAAAGGGGGAAGATCCGCCCGAAAGGGATCTCTGAGCCAGGTAACAGGTCGATGGGACAGTCATACGGGCGGTGGGGGGGTAGAGTATCTGCTCCCCGTTTACTGAATACATCAAGGAATTCATGGTAGGCTGCCGGAATGACCTGTCTTAAGTCGGCATCCCCCTCTGAGCACACAAGGACCTGGGGAACCCCCGGGCCCGAAGTGCGGCAGTGTTCCCAACAGTATGAGGAAGGGAACGAGACTACCCTGGTTTCCCAGTCAATCTGGGGGTTATGAGCCCGTAACCACGGAAGCCCCAGAATGACTGGAAAAAGGGGTGATGCAATGGCATCCAAGCGGAGGAGTTCCTGGTGTTGGCTGGCAATGGTGGTAGAAATGGAAGGAGTCTCCTGGTTAACCACCCCTGATCTTATCCGGGACCCATCGGCCAGAAATATGTTGAACCCCTTTTCTTTTGGTTGGAGGGGAATACCCTGCTGGTGAGCAAAATTAATATCTACAAAACAGCTGCATGCCCCCGAGTCAATAATGGCTGTCACTTCCACGGTCCTTTCTGGCAGCTGAAAGGAGAGGGGTACAACTAAGTATTGGGAAGAATGAACATCGCCAACAGATAAGGAAGAAGAGGTGCACTTACTCAGTTTCTGCGGGCAGGATCGTACCATGTGACCAGCTTCACCACAGTAGAGGCATAGGTTCTGGGAGCGTCTGCGCTGGCGTTCCTCTGGAGATAGCTTAGGTCGCGCCAGGCCTAGCTGCATGGGTTCAGGAGCATCCTCCGGTGGTGGGTTCAGGAACTGTGGCCTAGTGGATTGGCTGTGACCCTGGAAAGACCCCCGGGAACCTCCTCGACCCTGACCGGACCTCTCAAACCTGCGTTCCCGCAGTCTTCGGTCAATCTTGATGGTTAGTGCAATTAAGTCTTCAAGTGCCTCAGGCATTTCTACCCGGGCGAGCTCGTCTTTCAGGGCCTCTGACAGGCCCATGCGGAACTGGTGCACAAGGGCAAACTCGTTCCAGCGTGTGTCCCCCATCCAACGCCTAAAGTCAGAGGCGTACTCCTCCGCCGCCCGTCGGCCCTGCCGGAGTGTGTAAATGGTAGCTTCGGCCGAAGCTGCCCGCTGTGGGTCATCATATAAGATGGCCATTGCGTCAAAAAAAATGTTAACTGAGCCTAGGTGGGGGTCATTGTTCCCTCTCAGTCGGTGGGCCCAGTCTTGGGGTTCACCCTGCAGGAGGGAGATGACAAACCCCACCTTTACCGATTCCGTCAAAAAAGTACGAGGTTGCAACTCAAAATAGAGAAGGCAGGATTCACGGAACGACCTGAAGCGTGTGCGGTCCCCGTGAAAACGCTCCGGTAGGGGTACCCGGGGTTCAGTCATAGGAAGTGATG